CAGCCTACCTGATTGGCCCAGGTTCGATTCCTCCATCCCTCTTGGAGAGCCCGGCAAGCTACAGAGTGTATCTCACCTGCAAGGCAAAGCCTGGAAGCTACCCGTGACATATTCGATATGCCAAACACAGTAACAACAAGTCTCACAACGGAGACGTTACTGGGCCTGCTCGAGCAAATCAATGAACAACAGGAAGACAGTGCTATAGTGCCACATAAGGTATTTGCAGATCCAATTAAGATAAGCATCTTGAGTTCTTCCTGGATTTATGGGTGGGTATTATATCCTCTTTTATACACAGAAGGAGGAGATTTGAGATATATAAATACAAACACAGAGGAAAGAATACTGTCTGAAGACATTGTAGAGACTGGATTTATGAAGCTATAAGCTAAGGAATATCAAAAGCTGCAAAATTCACTGGAAACTCAGAAAAACAGATTGGAATGTAGTCTCCCTTGGAGCCTCTCGAAGAAACCAAATCAAATTAAATTTTAGGTTATTTTGTTTTCACAACTGTATGAGAATGAATCTCTATTGTTTCATCTACCATGCATGTGAAGGCAGCGTTAAGGAAACAATAAACCAGAAGACCAGAAGGTCCGGAAGTTGGGATGTCTGACCTCAAAGATAACATAGATAGATAGACAGATAGATAGATAGATAGAAAGATAGATAGAAAATTTATGCATATTTATCCATTTATCAAGACCTATAGAAATGTACGACACAAAAATGCATTTTAATGACTTGAAAAAAGAAGTCACTAAGTCAAAAAATAGACCCTTGGGGGTATGGTGCCACCAGCAGGACAATCTGTACCTGTGAGGTGAGTGCATCATCAGCCTGATGGTGCCTTCAGACTTCTAGATACCCCCAAATTGCTGCTGTGCCTTTGGCCAGACCCCAAAAACTTGGGGCCAAGTTTATCAAGGAAGTAAACGGCCAAAAGTTAGGTATGTGGGAGACACACCCACAAACCACCTCTGGCTCAGTTATATAATTGGACACAAGGCCTCTCTAGTTCTGTATCAATTTGCTTAATAGACATGATCCCAGAGACGCAGAAACAAGTCTCGGAACCCAGCATCTTTTGGCAGAAATGTGTCCAGTCCCCTCAGTATGTTACCGGTGCCGGGCCACCCCAGGGGGTGCTCTTTCTCCACCTGCTCCCTCTTGGTGACTCTGTGGCCGCCATCCTCCAGAGGTGATTGGACAGTCAGATTTGGGCCCACAGTGACGAGACACGCGGGGCCTCACAGGATGGAGTTGGAGTCGTCCCTTTCCTTCCCACCCCCACGAGACTCCGGGTTGTTGCCCATGAATGGCATCTCTGACTCCTGATCAAGCTGCTTAATGGCCATGATCCTCGAGACTCAGGAACAAATCTTGGAACCCAGCGGTTTTTGGCAGAAATGCATCCAGTCCCCGCAGTAGGTTAATGGTGCTGGGCCACCCCAGGTGGGAATAGGTTTAGTGCCTTGGCCTGTTCCCCCTGGAGGCTCGGCGGCCACCATCCTCCAGAGACCATTGGACAGTCAGGTTTGGGCCCATAGTGACAAGACACGCGGGGCTTCATGGGATGGGGGTGGAGCCAGCCCTTTTCTCCTCGTTCCAACAAGAACCCGGATCACCACCCATGAACAGCCTCTCTGGCTCCTTATCAAGCTGCTTAAAGGTAATGATCCCAGGACTCAGGAGCAAATCTTGGAACCCAGGAAGCTTTGGCAGAAACCCCTCCCGATTTATTATCACTATCACTATCATTCTGTTCTTCATCAATTTGTTCAAGTGGGAGCCAGTATTGTCTCCATTCGTCCCTGTCACATGCTAGTGTAGCCGAAGGCATATTGGGAGCTCTTTCAGTGTCAGGGGAATGACAACCATCATTGTTACTGTTTTTGGCATATCAAGTATGCCACAGGTAGCTTGCAAGGCTCTGCCATGTGGGCGAGATACTCTCGGTAGCTTGCCAGGCTCTCTGAGAGGGATGGAGGCTTTGTGGGCAGCCTCTAATCAGCTTTAAAGGTGTTCCAAGTCAGGCATATATGTGGGCAGGATACTCTCAGTAGTCTGCCTGGTTCTCTTTTAATTGTTAAAATTTCAGAATTCCAAAATTGTGCGGCCACTACTGTGGCCGCATGACATCATATGTTATTCATAATTAGCAATAGAAAGCAAATTGTCTATGCTTGCCTTTTGGCAGATCTGAGTGTTGGGGAAAAATCCCAAATAATAATGGTGGATCTGGTGTTGAAATATTGAACGTAATCAAAATAGAGAGAGAGAGAGAGTAATGTTGAAATCATCTGCCCCACATGTAGGGGGAGGGTGTTAGATGGGGGGTATACTGTGGATTTTGGTGGTGGAAAATGGGCACTGGTGACGGGACGGATGTTTCATAATTGCATGACTGAGACTTAAACCCGAAAGCTTTGTAACTGCTCTCACGGTGATTTAATAAATAAATTTATAAAAAGTAAAAAGAATAGTAAGATGGAGTTCACGCCCAATTCAATCAGCCTAATCAATGGCTGAATAAATAGAAATACTCCTAAATAAAAAAGACCCTTAATTAATAACAAAAACCACTGTTAATTTAACCTCAAAGAATTTTAATTTTATGTTATAAACTGTTATTAAACATTTACCAATAATAACTTTATAATTAGTGTTGTTAAGATACTTTATATATCAAATTTATTAAGTACAAATATACTGCACTTTATATTGTACTAAATGTAATATTTTCACTAGTTCCAAAGGATACTAGTCACTTATCTCTCACATTAATATCTCTATTTCTCATTTTCTCTCTTGTTTTCCCTCTGGGGCATTCCATTTTGTTTTTGTTTTTTGTTTGTTTTGTTTTGTGTCCACAGCTATCAGTGCTCGTGGTTTACTCCTGGCTCTTTGCCCAGGGATCACTTCTGGCAGGATTCAGGGGAGTATTCGGAGTGCAGTGCTGGGGAACAAACTAGAGTAGGTTGCATTCAAAGCAAGGACAGTACCTCTGTACTATCTCTCCAGCACTGGTATTACCTTCCGCCCTGGCCTGATATATTTCTAGATTTTTTTTCCTGTTGTGTTTGCTACCTTGGGCACTCGACTCTACTTTATAATGTAAATTTTTAATTAAATAGGTGGCTTCCTCTAGAATTATATGCTGTAATCACTAAAGATTTTTCAACCACTCATTTGTTGCTGGGAATTCAGAATCATATTATCAAGTCCTGCTGAGCACAACGATGTTATTATCTATAGAGAAAGCAAAGGCAACCGTTGAAATCACATAGTCACATTTCTCTGCATCTCAGGCATCTATAGTGAATGTAAAAGGCTGCTTGAAAATAGAAAAATAAACTTACCATATGTTGAAATATATTTGCAAGCCACCTTAGATGTACATGGAAAGGCTTAGAGCAGAAAAATGCCCTTTTCTACTTATCTATTGTCAGCTAAGGAAATTTATATCTAAAAAAAACATTGAAATCAGCAGCAGTTGCTGAGAAAACACCTATGTTTGCCAAGTATATTATATAATGCAATATACTGTAAGTATGTTCCATCCTGTTTTCATTTTATTATTGGTCCTTAGACATAATCTAAAGGGACACATAAGATATTATTCTTATTTTTAATTGAAAATTTCCATTCAGTTGCAACCTAAAACATGTAAATAAAATTTATTCTCAAAAACAAAACAAAACAAAAAAAATTTATTCTCGATCAGATGATTACATTATCAAGCGCTGCAAAAGAGTTCCAGTAAACAAAATTGTTTATGATCATAATCACAGTAAAGGCCAAGTATATTCGTCCTTGCTGCTGCATGGAGGGCATTTTGCAGAGTTCAAGTGGAAGATTGAGTCATCAAATAGCTTTCAGAGTACAGGTCTCATTGAACAAAGGAAGTAAGAGTTCATTTTAGTCAGGATTATTTCATAGTACCAGTGAGTTCTGTTTTTCAAAAATGACATCGTACATGCTTTTTTTTGCAAGCAAAAGGAAAAAATAGCAGTAATCCTGCAATTACTTATTAAAAAAGTAAATACTGGATTGTGCTGGAGTGTTACATTGATTATAGCATCAAAGTGAAAGACTGGTGGTTTAAAATTAGACCAGTGATAAAATGGAAAGATTACATTAGTGAAAATAACAATGAGACAAAAGACAAGTCATCATTCTTAATGTCAAAAGAATCAAATACGATGAAGCATTCAAGTGTACCTATTTATTTTTATCAAAACCAATATTATTAATTCAATTTTCAGGGAACATACTTTTTCATATTTATTTTTACTTTATACAGCAAGCTACTGAGTGTATCTCGCCCACATGGCAAGCTACCCGTGATGTATTCAATATGTCGAACACAGTAACAAGTCTGCAATGGAGACGTTACTGGGCCCGCTCGAGCAAATCGATGAACAAAGGGAGAACAGTGAAAGTGTGACAGTTCAATGTGTATGTAGGTTAAATTCATGTTTATTTTTATTTTTTACTGTACATTTATTTTTTAATTGAATCATAGTGAGATGCACAGTTACAAAGTTTTTCATGATTGAGTTTTAATCACATAATGTTCCAACACCCGTCACTCACCAGTGTACGTTTCCCACCACCAATGTCCACAGTTTCCCTCCCTATGCAGGGCACTTTTCTTCTCAGAGTACCTAAAATGATTTAGTTTATAGAACTGGCTGAATGACAACTTTTCACCAACAAAAATGAAATTCAGTAATGTTTAAAGTGAAAGTTTGCATTTAATTTTATGAACACATATTTTAGAAGTATTTCCAATAACCAGATGCAATACATAATTAAAAAGTGAATATGAGATATTTTAGGGTAGTGTGGAAATTAAGGAACATAACAGGTTTAAAGACCCAAAGTCAATGACATCATATAAGACAGAGCATTCAAAATTAGATAAAACGATATTGAATCAACAAAATAAGTAGAAAATTGAAATTTTTATACAGAAACAGTGGAGGTCCAGTATCTGTGTGGGTTTTTGTATGGACAAAGATTTTGAGACAGATGTAAAAATCTATATCATCCTTTGTAACCCAGAACTCATTATTCTATATGAGTTCTGATACAGATAAGAAGGAACATGATTTTTTTAAAAAAAAGAAGAGTGCAAGTGAAATGATACAGTCTAGAAAGAATGTGTTATGGAAATTTAGACTAAATGTGATGGAGATCTTCCTAGTGTTGAAAACGATGTGACGCGATTGACACCTTCTTGTCTCGGTTAGACCAATGATGTCATAATTGATCTTTCGCGCTGGCACCATCAGATCCTCAATGGATGTATCCGATGCTAGCATACGTGTATTGAAAGTACAGACAGTCATTTTTGTCCTTCTTCATTTTGGCAGCCTAGGTCGGTTCTGAGATTCTATGAGCCCCTCCTTCCTCATCTTTCTTAACGGTGCCATATTGGTGGCTCTTTCAGGGTCAGGAGAATGGGACCCATTGTATTTACTGGTATTGGCATATCAAATACACCACGGGTAGCTTGCCAGGCTCTGCTGTGCGGGTGGAACACTCTAGTTAGCTTGTAATGCTCTCCGAGAGGACAGAGGCTTTTAGGGTGGCCTCTAATCGCCCTTAAAAGAGTTTCCATGCTTCAAACAATATTTCAATGCATTCAAATATGGTGTGGTAATCTTGTATTAAGTGTTTTATGATGTTTCGAGCGACCACAATGCAGCCATGCGAATCTGTAAAGCATCATATAGGGCGTCTGTGGCTGAGTAGTAGAGGTAGTGGAGGTAATGGAGGTAATGGAGGTCTGCCGGGCTGCTTGGAGCAGGCAGAGGATCTCTGCTCCCGGGTCCATTGAGCCTGGAGTCCGAGGTCACAGAGTTCTGCCCCGGGCTCTCTGGGGCTTCATTCATGCCTGAGTCCCTGCCTGAGTGTCCAGAAACCGTCCTGGAGGGCGTCCGTGACTGGGTAGAGGAGGTAGTGGAGGCAATGGAGGTATGCCGGACTGCTGGGAGCAGGCAGAGGATCTCTGCTCCCGGGTCCGTGGAGCCTGCAGTTCAAGGTTACAGAGTTCCGCTTCCCTGGTTCTCTGGGGCTTCACTCATTGAGGTTTCTCGAGAGTTCAGGATGCTGCTCTGTCTAATATTCACTGATTTTAAGAAGGCCCTTGATTCTGTTGAGATTGAAGCGGTCATCGAGGCCCTAGCCAAATAGGGCATTCAAAGTCAATACATCAGGATCCCCCGTGAGCTGTATTGCGGATTCACTACCAGGATCTCACCATTCTACAGGGAGGTGATCATTGACGTCAAGAGAGGGGTTCGGCAGGGTGATAACATTTCACCCAAACTCTTCAGTGCCACCCTCGAGAACGTCAGGTAACAACCAGATTGGGAAGGAATGGGAGTGAAGATAGATGGTCTGCAACTACACCACCTGCACTTTGCTGATGACATTGTTCTTATAACACCAAACATCAGCCAAGTGGCACAAATGCTGGCCAACTTCAACTTTGAGTGTGGAAATATCAAACTACAGTTGAATCTAACAAAGACAATGTTTATGAGAAATGGTCTTGTTCCTGACGTTCCATTCACTCTCAATGGGACGACCATCTCTGAATGCAACAGTTATGTGTATCTAGGTCGAGAAGTCAACATGACGAATGACCTGGCTCCTGAGTTGTGCAGGAGAAAGAGAGCGCCTTGGAACGCCTTCAAGAGCATCAAAGAAATAGCTAAGAGAACAAAGAACTTCTGGCTCCAGTCACATTTCTTCGATTCCACTGTTCTTCCTGCATTGACATATGCCTCAGAGACCCGGTCTCTACACAAACAAGATGAGAACGCGATTCAGGTCTCCCAAAGAGGAATCGAAAGAGCTATTCTTGGAGTATCACACTTCACTCATATGAGAGAAAGAATCAGGCATTCCGATCTTCGTCGAAGGTCCAGAATCAGGGACGCTGTCTCATTTGCCAAGGTGTTGAAAATCAGTTGGGCTGGATACGTAATGTGATTTGGAGATGACTGCTGGACTACAGCCATTACCGACTAGATTCCTTGGGAAATCAAAAGATCGCGTGGCCGCCCACCTATGAGGTGGTCAGACTTCTTTGTCAAGACACTGACCGATCAGTTTGAGGCTCTTCGTGTTCCTAGAATGAGCAGATGCCATTGGGCTACATTAGCACGCAGCAGGGATGAATGGAGACGTTCCTGGCATCTTCTCGAGCAAATCGAGTGTTAAGTGTCAAGTTCCTGGCATCTTCTCGAGCAAATCAAGTGTTAAGTGTCAAGTGTGATGGAGGTCTGACCTAGTGCAAACACAAAAATAATAATGAAAAGGAGTAACATTTTGAAGTAGAATAAAACACAGTAATTGCACCATAAAGTTACCTAGAGTATCAACACAAGTGCTCTAATTTGATCTTTTAGTTCCTTCTGTTTCATACAAGAAGGGATAGTTTTCCTGGATCCAACACAAGACTTCAGTACTAAAGGACTAAGAATTTGGTACTATATCTAATATCTTCATTTGCTCGAGCGGGCCCAGTAACATCTCCATTGGAGACTTTGTTGTTACTGTGTTTGGCATATCGAATACGTCATGGGGAGCTTTCCAGGCTCTGCCGTGTGGGCGAGATACTCTCGGTAGCTTGCCAGGCTCTCCCAGAGGGGCGAAGGAATCGAACTCAGGTTGGCCATGTTGGCTGCGTGCAAGGCAAACACCCTACCGCTGTGCTATATCTTCATATTGGCATATATATATTCAACCTTAATGGCATCAATTTCTTATTTTCAAACAAGATGCATTTGTTGGAATGGTGGTCTTCAAATACCATTTCCTACTCTAACCCTACTGTTAGAATCTTATTCTAAGATACTTGACATCTTATATAAATCTTAAAAAGCTGAGAAATGCAAAATCAGCAGCTCCAAAATTAATAAAATGCATACACATTTACATAAAAATTACATTCATAAAATGTAATCATTCCTGACCGAAGTATACAGCCAAGAAAAATGAAGGCTTCTGTCAAAATCTTATATAAGAATGTTTACATCAGTTGTATTTATATAAGCTAAAAACTAGAGATAATCAAAACGCCCACTAACAAATCAATAGATAAATGAAGTCAGATATGTTGGATATGTCCCTAAAATGGAATGCTGCTCAGGAAAAAAAAATATGGGGGTATGGTGCCACCAGCAGGTCAATCTATACCTATGATGTAAGTGGTTTTGTTATGTTGTAACCATAAAAGCTATAAACATTTACCCTCTTGTAAATCAGTATTACCTTAATGAAAATATTTCTTTTTAAATAACTATAGACTGACGGGGTTATGGTGCCGCCAGCAGGTCAATCTGTACCTGTGAGGCGAGAGCATCAGCAACCTGATGGCACCATCACATTTTCAGATACCCCAAAATTGCTGCTGTGCCTTTGGCCAGACCCCAAAAACTTGGGGCAAAGTTTACCAAGAAAGTAAACGGCCAAAAGTTAGGTATTTGAGAGACACATCCACAAACCACCTCCGGCTCAGCTATATAATTGGAGGCATGGCCTCTCTGGGTCTTGATCGAACTGCTTAATGGCCATGATCCCAGAAACTCAGAAACGAATCTCAGAACCAAAAAGGCTTTTGGCAGAAATGTGTCCTGTTCCTGCAATAGGTTACTGGCACTGGGCCACTCCAGGTGGGAACAGGTTTCGAGCCTTGGGCTGTTCCCCCTGGCGGCCCGGTGACTGCCATCCTCCCGAGGACACTGGACAGTCAGGTTGGGCCTGCAGTGACCAGTCACACGGGGCCTCACCAGATGGGGGTGGAACCAGCCCTTTCTTCCCCATCCCAATGAGATCCCGAATCGCTGCCTACAAAAAGCCTCTCTGGCTCCTGATCAAGCTGATTAACAGCCATGATCCCAGAGACTCAGAAACAAATCTCGAAATCCAGCGGCTTTTGGCATAAATGCATCCGGACCGCATACAAGGTGGCTGCTGCCTCAGAGCTTATTGGAAAGCCAGGTATGAACCAGCAGTGACAGGGCAACTGCAGTCTCATGGGAAGGGGGGTGGTACCAGCTCATCCTTCACACCCTACTGAGGTCACGAGTTTCCCCCCACGAGTGGCTCTCCAGCACGGCCATGGCTCCAGAGGCAAAAGGACTTAATCCAGAGTCCGACAACTTGCAGCAGAAAAACAAATAAACCATGCGTTAAACTACGGCACCATGCTTCCCGAGAGGGAATGGGTGTTGCTCCCTTTCGCCTTTCCCCCATCCAGGCAGCAAGGTGGCCGCTACCTCAGAGCTTATAGGAAAGCCAGGTATGAGCCAGCTGTGAAAGGGCATCTGCAGTCTCATGGGAAGGGGGGCAGTACCGGCTCATCCTTCATGCCCTACCAAGGTCATGAGTTTCCCCCCACGAGCAGCTTACCAGCACAGCCATCACATCAGACGCACAGAAACCAATCTCGTAATTATCTGTCTCTTTGTGTGACATTGTATGATTCTCATAACCAGCTATAGAAAACAAAGTATTTCACAACGCCTTTTCAGCAGTTCTGATTGTTAGGGGGGAAATTCTAAACAATAATGGTGCATATTTTTTCGAAATAATGATTGTAATCAACGTTGAGAAGAGTTAAGTAGAAATCATCTGCCTCACAGGCATTGGGAGGGATGGGAGGGGGGTATATTGGGGTTCTTGGTGGTGAAAAATGAGTATTGGTGAAGGGAAAGGTGTTTGATCATTGTATGACCAAGATTTAAACCTGAAAGCTTTGTAACTTTCCCCACAGTGATTCAATATATAAATATAAGAAGGAAAAAATAAATGAATAAAATTACGAAAAAAAAGTAAGGTGGAGTTCATGCCCAATTCAATCAGATTATCAGTGGCTGGATAAATAGCAGTACTCCTACATAAAAAATGTTATTGATACTCATAATATAAATCTATCCCCAAATAATTATGATATTAAAAAGTTCCCCCCCAAAGAGAGTACATGTTGCATAATTTTATTTATAGGACTCTGCAAATTCAAACTATTCTGTAGTTGTAAAATTAAATCAATGGTTTCTTCAATATGGGTAGATCGGAGGAATAATTTAAAGAGGT